AAGCCAATTGCTTACTTCAGCGACAAGTTGAGTGGGACTGCCCTCAACTATCCGACGTACGACAAGGAGCTTTATGCCCTAGTTCGAACCTTAGAGACATGGCAGCACTATCTTTGGCTGAAGGAGTTCGTGATTCACACTGATCACGAGTCTTTGAAGTATTTGAAAGCTCAACACAAGCTGAACAAGAGACATGCTCGATGTGTTGAGTTCATTGAGTCCTTTCCATACGTGATCAAGTACAAGCAGGGCAAAGAAAATTTAGTTGCTAATGCCCTATCTCGAAGGCATTCATTGATTACGACAATGGGGGTGAAGTATTTGGGTTTCGAGCATATCAAGGAGCTCTATTATGATGATGCTGACTTTGGGGAGATCTATAGAGCTTGTGAGCAGCATGGCGATGGGAAGTTCTATCAAAGTGATGGCTACTTGTTTCGAGCTAACCAGTTGTGTATTCCTCGATCATCATTTCGAGAGTTGCTGTTGAAAGAGGCTCATGGAGGAGGCTTAATGCCACATTTCGGTGTAGACAAGACACTCAGTTGTCTACAAGAGCACTTCTATTGGCCGCACATGAAGGGAGACGTGGAGAATCTATTTGCGAGGTGTGTGGAGTGCAAGCAGGCCAAGTCGAAGGTGTAATCATATGGATTGTACACACCGCTACCGATTCCATATGATCCATGGATCGACATCTCTATGGATTTTATGCTTGGTTTGCCGAGAAAAAGGAAGGGAAGAGATTCGATTTTCGTGGTGGTGGATCGATTCTCAAAGATGGCACACTTTATCCCATGCCATAAGACTGACGATGCGGTTAACGTGGCTGATTTATTTTTCAGGGAAGTGGTGCGATTGCATGGGATGCCGCGTTCCATAGTATCCGATCGAGATACTAAGTTTCTGAGTTTCTTCTGGACGACGTTGTGGAGAAAACTGGGGACGAAGCTGCTGTTCTCTACTACATGTCATCTCAAACCGATGGGCAAACAGAGGTGGTCAATCAAACATTATCCCAGATGCTTCGAGCTGTGATAAAGAGCAACATCAAGGTTTGGGAGGACTGCCTTCCCCATGTGGAGTTTGCTTACAATAGGATGGTGCACTCGACGACAAAGTTCACTCCGTTTGAGCTCGTGTATGGTTTCAATCCACTCACGCCTTTGGATTTGATGCCATTACCTTTGAACGAGCAGGTCAATCTCGATGGAGCCAAGAAAGCCGAGTTCGTGAAGAGTTTACATGAGAAGGCGAGATTGAACATTGAGAGAAGGATGGAGCAGATAATGCGCAATGTGAACAAAAACAGGAAACTGAGGCACTTTGAAGTTGGCGACTGGGTGTGGGTGCATTTGAGGAAGGAGAGGTTTCCCCAACAGAGGAAATCGAAGTTGCTGCCATGATGTGATGGTCCTTTCCAAGTGGTTTCTAAGATTGGAAGCAACGCTTACAAGATTGACTTGCCTGGAGAGTATGGAGTAAGTGCAACGTTTAATGTTTCTGACCTTGCACCTTATTTGGATGGCAATTCGGATTTGAGGGCAAATCCTTTTGAAGAAGGGGCTGATGAGGATATCAATGGGCCAGTCACACGTGCAAAGGCAAGAACGTTGAAGGAGAAGCTTGCAACGTATTTGGAGAGCTACTTTGGAGCCATGGACGTGGAGTTCTTTCGAGGAAAGCCATATATGATGATTCGAGTGGAGGAAGAAGGAGGAAGTGTTGGAGAGAAGGCAGATTGCAAGAAGAAGCCTTAACGGGTCCAGCCTTAACGGGTTTGCTTAACGGGTTCAGGCTAACAGTTTTGGCTTAACGGGTTTGCTGGGCTATTTTCGGGTTTCCTTGTTTTAAAGTCGGTTTATGATTGTTTTTCCATGTTGGAGTCGGATTTGGGTTGTACTTTGCCTATTTAAAGGGCTGAACACGTTGGTTTTGCTTTTAGACGATAATTATTGAATTTCAGAGGCTAAAGCCGAGTTCCCTACACAGAATTTGTCCTAATTACTCTGTTGAGAATCTCCAGAGTTCTAGAGCGACTCTTATCAGCTAGGTATTCACCCGAGTTGTGGTGAGCTACCCATATCGATTGCCTTTTATTCCGAGTTGAATATGTCCGATCGATTCATATATCGATTGCCCTTATTCACGGGTGAGTACTGTCCTATCGATTTCCATCCTATCCGGTTCGGTTTGGTTCGAGAAGCTTGACCCTGCGCGACTTTGATTATATCAAGATCTTAAACAGTGCTTAGATATAAACTGGATTGTAAAGTAAATTGCTTGAATATAAATAGGCAAGCTGATGGATGATTATAACATTATAATGATTGTAATGACTTGATAAAAAATGAAAGATGGAAGTTGATACTAGTACGAACATGAATTTCTAAGCCTAAGAATGGCCTTTTCCTACGTCAATCTTCAAATCTGCTCCTTCAATCTCGCAGTTCCCTCCAATGAACTTTGGCTAAGAGCAAGAACCAAAAATACTGTTTGGAATGTAAATATTTCTATTTTTGTAGAGTGTTTTTTTTTCTTCTTGAATTCGTCCCCCCAAAATATGAGCTGACGAGCTCTTCTTATAGCAAACAAAATTGCCCTGTTGCCTCCATTTCATTGGCTGTTTTGGAAGGCCAATTCTGGAGCTTCAATGTATTAGGTCGGTTCTGACATGTCAGGTCGAGTGTGGGCTAAGCCAAGTTTGGATAATGTTGGGCCTGGAATTATGGGCCGATCTGGACTTCACCTGGGCCGGGTTTGAATCATTTGGGTCTGGCTATGGAATTGGACTTTCACCTTTGGGCCTGAACTGGGTTCAAGATTTTAATTTGGGCTAAAACTAATCTCTTTTATTTTTGCAGGTACACAATTTGTTTGGGCTTAATGTAGGAGGACTTCAATTTTTTGAGCCTAATCTGTTTGTAATTAGTTTATTGTAATTAATTTTAATTCTTATTATGGTATCATTTTATGATGTACAATGAACCAAATCTGATAATCAATTTGTTTTCTTTTCAATTCAATTTTGCACAATTCATCTACCATTCCCAGATCCAAAGCGTACAACAAAATTTGTACCATAATCATTTCTTTCGTCCAATTGAGAATTTATATTTAAGATTTGCCACTGCCAATCTTAACTTAAATCGATCCTATCTTAACTAATTATGCTCTAGAATCGACTAGGAGCAAATTTGATAATTGTTGGTTCATATTGACTTGCAACTGCTAGTCTCAACCAAACTATATTCAGCTTCCTTATTAAATATAATCGTAGTACGACGTTACAATAATTATATTAATGCTTTCCTCCATGGAGATCTCCAGGAGGAAGTCTACATGACATTGCCTAAAGGGTATGATCCACCTTCAGGTTTTGACAACCTAGTTTGCAGATTAAGGAAGTCCCTTTATGGCTTGAAACAAGATTCATGCCAGTGGTTTTCTAAACTAACAGACAAGATTCAGACTCTTGGATACATTCAAAGCATGGCAGACCATTCATTGTTTTTCAAGGTAATAGATTCATCCTATACTTGCATCCTTATCTATGTTGATGATCTGTTAGTTGGAGACAATGATCTCATGGAGATAACCATATTGAAACAGTTCCTTCATAGTGAGTTCGGTATTAAGGATTTGGGCAATTTTAAGGTTCTTTTTGGGAATTGAAGTGGCTAGAAACAACAAAGGCATTAATTTATCTCAAAGGAAATACACATTGGAAATTCTGGAAGAGGCTGAGTTGCTGGACTCAAAGGTTGTTACAACTCTAATGGTTACAAAATACATCTATCAAGTTAGGTTGAAACCCCCTATGAAGAGCCAGAGCATTATCGTACTCTTGTTGGTAAGTTGATTTACCTCACAACAACTAGGCCTGACATCAGTTATGCAACTCAACAACTCAGCCAATTCATGTCTAATCCTAGCATTGTTCATTACAAGGCTGTGTTACGAGTTCTCAGGTACTTGAAGACTGCTCCTGCTACAGGACTATTCTTCCCTTCCAAAGGCTCATTTCAGTTGAAGGCATTCACCGATTCACATTGGGCAGCATGTATTGATACAAGACGATCAATCACAGGATATTGTGTTTAACTTGGTGATTCTCTTATCTCCTGGAAAAGCAAAAAGCAAAAGACAGTCCCACGCTCGTCTTGTGAGGCAAAATACAGAGCTTTGGCATACACAACTTGCGAGATTCAATGGTTGCTTTTTCTGTTGCGTGACTTCCAGATCGAGCACCTAAAACCAACTGCTCTGTTTTGCGACAATCATAGCGCCATATACATCGCCCAGAATCCGACGTTCCACGAGCGAACGAGGCACATCGAGCTCGATTACCACCTCGTGTGTGAAAAGCTTCAATTAGGTGTAGTCAAACTGCTACATGTCTCTTCAAATCATCAGTTAGCTGACCTCTTCACCAAGCCTTTGTCTCCTGCACCATTTCAATTGCTTTTCTCCAAGCTTGGTGTGTATAATTTATGCCCACCAGCTTGCGCACCGGGGGGGGGGGGGGGGGGGGGGGGGGGGGGGGGGTAACAACAAATGAAGATTTGCAAGAGCACTGAAGCGGAAGACTAAAGCGGTGCCGTTTTGACTCCCACAAGCAACTTACTGTGTCTTTTGACTCCCACAAGCCACTTACTCATCATTTCGGTGGTTTTGCGATGGAAATGATAGATGGTAACTAGCGAACATTGATTAACTAAACTGTGTCTTTTTTTTTTCCTGCCCAGCTCGTCGGAAGCACGTAGAGTCGTCGTTGTTCATACTCACAGGTGCATCGGCCAACTACTACTTCAACATAAACGGGAAATTTATCCTTCAGCGGATGAAACACATGGTGCCTGATGTAATTGCAGCTGTCAGGACTTACATCAAGGTGAGTTGAGTATGAGTATGAATCAATCAAGTCGTTGCTGATTCATTTAATTTTATTTTACATTCAATTCAACTAGAGAGAAGATACATATATAGGGATCGAGTTGCATTTTGAATACATTCTATTATAAAAAGGTATCTTATCTTCATAAACCGAGCTAGTGGGTGCTGGATTACTTGGCAAAGGAGACAAGCTTTTGGGATCCAACTTGAATTAGTATAAGCTCGACTCATTGAGAACCCTAATTTATAAAAAAAAAGTAGCGATGGATAGTTCACTTATCTTACCCCACAAAAATCACCAGACACAGAGAGCGACTATGCCGCAGCGAGGCCACCCCATCGACCCAGGGTCGACTCACCAGCATTAGTGTAGGATCTATAGTGCAAACTAGTGTTATATTTTTTAGTATTCATTTGTACTGCTAGCGCTAATTATGCAGCCTAGTTATTCCGCTAACTTGAAAATTCGTTAGTATATACTAACTAATATCCAACATGATTGAACTAATATCCAAGTCTGCTAAGTATCTAGATAGCACAGACTAGTATTCAAAACATCACAAACTAGTATCCAGATAGCAGATACCAACTAATATCCACAATCAACCAACTAGTATTCAATATGGATACTCTTATGGGTTATCTGGATTCTCTTATGTGTTATCAGGATTCTAATTATGTGCTGTTTGGATACTAATTATGTGCTGTTTGGATACTATTCTGTGTTGTCTAGATATTAGTTTGTGAATTTGGGATAATAGTTGATTCATGGTGGATATCAGTTAAAAAACTTTGAATACTAGTCTATGCTCTCTAAATAGTAGATACTTTAGTACTTGGATATTAGTTCATGTATTTTGGATATCAGTTAGTATCTGCTAACGAATCTTCAAGTTAGCATATTAACTTTCCCCCTAATTATGTCTATCTTTACCGTTTGTCTTTTTTTAACTAAGTAGTTCCTTCTCTGTTCTGTTTGTTTAGAGAGCAGGATTTTGTTCGTCATTCTATACACTTTTGGTCGTAGCGAAACATAACTGCTTGATTTGGGCTTGTTATCTGCGAAGTTACATGACCATGAATGGATGGGCTCGTTTTCCATACACTCCTTTATGTGACTTCAGCTCAAGGCCCTTTTCTGGAACTCAGCAATTGAATTAATTTTTGGCCAATACGATAATACTACAATGTCGCGGTAAAAAGTACAGCACCGGTAACTCAATTTTTTATTGGGCCACGTGGATGTATGGTGGCAATGCACGAGTTTATATAATCTGGACCAAAACTAATTGGCCCATAAAATTTACCCTAACCTCCAGGTGACCAAATGGAACCAAACGGACAGAAAGTTATCTGTCTTCTACGTTTTATAACGTTTTCCCCAATATCTACGGACCATCAAAAGGCTCCACTGAAGTCGCTCACAGTTTACTAATCCTTCATAAACCTTCGAGCAAAAGCAATGAGCCTTTTCATTCGATAGGGAATGTCGATTTTGCAGTCGTTCCATACGTGAGTACTCATCAATTCCCTCCACAAACCTACAATTTCCGGGAAAATCGTTGACTCCTCGTCAATGCAGGCGAGTCCGATGGAGTCCCTGTCCCGCCCGTTTTTCGGCAGGAACTCGAGGAACTCATCGGCAATAAGGTTTTCTGGGATATTCCGTTCATCTTCAGGGAGGAAAGGCAGGTGGAAGAGGAGCGACCACCAGTAAAAGGGTGGCTGGAACGAGAAAGGTTGGCCAAATTGTAATGTGATAATGGAGGAAGGTGGATACGAGGATGATGACAAGGCCTTTTGTTCGAAGGTTTGAGTGTTTGATTGCTCTCTTCAGCTTTGATTGCTCTCTTCAGCTTCGTCCTCTTATTTACCATCTTCTGCTTGATTATTTGGGAATGAATAGCTTTGAAAGCTATATTGAATTAATTAACCAGTATTCTTTCGAGATACGAACATAAGATGGATAATTAATAAAAGGAATATTCTGAAGATAATTAGGATTAGTCATCTTAATATAATGCATTTTAATTATGGAAGTAATTATCTTCTTAATTAAAATGTGGCTTATTTCAAAAGAAAGAGGGAATATTATACGTTTTCTGCTCTTATAAATAGCAGACCCCTAAACCCTCTACAGACACCATGGAGAGCAGAAACATGAGAGAGAGTGCGATTTAGAGAGCTCCGGTTTTTCGCACAAAACTGCTAAGCAAATCAAAAGAGTGGCTGTTTTATCCTGGAGGCGACCTGCTGATAGTCTGATGTGCGCAATACGAGGCAGTGTCGCGAACGTCTTAAAGAGAGCGACCTAGTCCGTGACTCAGCCAGATCGGTAACCCTAAATTTCTTGATCGGTTTCTAACAATTTTAAGACGTTGGGTTGCTGTCATGTATACCGAATAGAGTCGATTACTGAATCTGGCTTCAATTGGAACGCGATTGACGGAACTAAGTTTTATGAGAGAGTTACATCGAAGGATGGAAGCTCCTTACGGCCTGTGCAGACAAGGCTTTCCTTCTCGTTGCAACCCAAAGAGGACGCAACTCTCTTATTGTACCTGTCGGCAAGAAAGGAAGCTCCTCTGAGACGATTTGCGCCATGCCTCTCCACGTATCTTGAAAGATTGATATTTCATTCTTATTCCTTACATTCATATATAGTCTCTAGTCGTGGTGAAGTGAAAGCGTGAGGTGTCTCGCTTTTCAGATTTGCTCTATTTATTAATAATTGTTACTGTTAGCTTTTGTTAAAGCAATTAGTCAGAGGGAAACGTTAAATAGAGAAGACAGAGCTCAATGCTACCCTCGACGAGCTTTGTCTGGACAACAGAAAAGAAGAATGACATGCTAAGTCGTTGCAATTTCAAGGGTTTGGTTGACAAATGAACCACCAAATCTGAATCCGGGTAGGGCAACATTTGATTGCGTGCTCTTTGTTACCTCGGAGAAACAGAAGGAGAGGAATAGGACGAGGAATAAGGGCTTGGTGCATTCGAATATTTGAAGCTTTATTTGAAATCCAAGCCTCCTCCTCGTTCTCTGGTTCAACGGGAACTCCATTGGAACTTGGAATGCGTTCATATGGTTGGTAGAATTCCCCAATCAGGAGACTTCTGCTTTAATGTGTTTTCTAGCTTCCACTTGATATTCACATGGGTATCGTGTTTATATACTATGGAAGGCACTAATGTGTTTATAATGGCCTGTGGTGTATGCGAGGGAATTCTGGTTTGCTCATTTGGAATTTCTATTGGTTCGATATGGCCAAGAGTTAAGCATGTGGAGACGCAGTGGCAATTGAAAGGAGACAAAGCTGGCTTGTATTGCATGTGATGGGGTAGGGCAAGAACTCACGGTATGGAAGAGGAAAATTAAGGGGTTTGATACCTAATGAAAGAAAGCAATTGGTCAAATGGCATTGATCAATAGTTCGAGGACATGGTGAATGAGAGATTCTCCTCATGAAAATAGGTAAGAACGAAAATCTTCCTCGTGAATCATCAATAAATGATATATTATAATTTATTATGCATATGGTATTGAGAAATATATGAATGCGAGAAAGTAAAAATAGAATTGATGCATGTATATGTCGACATTCAGGTGTATTATCTCGATGATTAGAAATTGAATACATGTTGTGGAGTATAATGATTTTGTTTAAATGCATGCGTATATGTGAAGAATATATGGGAATAGAAAGGGTTAATTTCCCATAGTGATGATATTATAAAAAGTACTATTATCAGTACTACACGAACCACTTAGGTTGCTGTGAAAATTAAAGTTTCAAGAATGAGAGCAGCAAGCTGAACCAGATCCACACCAATTAGAATGGTACCCATCGTGGTAACCATAAGATTGTCACACAATTATCTAAGAATGACGCTATGTTTCTCAATTAAATTTGAGAAAAACTAGGTCATATGACACGAAAGTGTTAGAGCAAGTTTAACATAGTATTGTGTTAACTTGATTAAAGAAGAGGATTTGGCAATAATAATCGCTTAGGTGATGACAGAGGTTAGCCTTAATGGTAACTCTGGAGAATGGTTGTTGGATACTAGCGTCCCAAGGCATGTCTGTGATAGGCGATCTAAGATGGATTCTTTTTGGGACGTGTGTGTCCTTGTAAGGAATTAGAATATCTAAAGTCACATTTCCATATTATTCTCGAACGCTTGAGATAAATAAAAATTTTGTATCCAAGCAAAATGACCCATAAAATATGTGGTTAGAGAATCAGAAGCAATAGATCTGATTTATGTTGATATGGGTAAACTTGATGGAAAAGACAATAAACAATTTATTGCTCTTTAGAGTGCTCTGATTGTCTAACTAGTTATTCGAAATAGTTTCAAATGCTTAGTTGCATTATAATTGCATTGATTATTCGATATGTGGCATGCATGTGGTAGCATTAGAGAATTAGTGACATGATAACTAGAAGAGCATATGAGTGTGTAAGTTATTGTAAAATACATAAGCCTGTGAAACGAAATACTCATTAGTTTGTGAAAACCATTGATGTCAATAGATTCCATTTATATTAAGAAATAGTGGGGGTGATATCCTGCCAACTATTAGAAATAATGGATAACTAGTGGGGGTGATGAATCTGAGTATGAACTCAGAAGAGACAAATGAACCATAAATCACGAAAGGATTTTGGTTATGAATTTGTTATTTACACCCTAAGAAAGACAGATCCTACAAGTCTGCTAGAAGTTCGAACTTCCATAAAAATGCAGAATTGTGGGAGAATCCATTATTAACGAAATGAAATTATTGAAGTCTAATAAGACTACAAATCTTGTAGAGTTACCTCTTGGTTGTAAAGTCTTGGGTAATATATCGATATAATCGAACAAGATTTGGCATTTATGAGAATTACCTCTTGGCAATGAAGTCGAAGGTAATAAAGGGATTTCCGAAAGAAAAACTGAAACCTGATGGTTTAGTTTATGAGTATAATAATCACCTAGTTGCTAAGTCTTTAGGTGAAGAGGAAACATTATAGATATCTATTCACCAATATGTGGAATTAATTTCATGTATGAGATGAATGTTAAAACTATTTTGTGAATGGTGATTTAGATAGGGAAATCTACATGGGACAACCTATAGGGTTGTTATTACTGAACATGCTTATGGAGTCTGTAGTTAGACAAATCATTGTAAGATTTAAAACAGACTCTAAGATGATGGCATGAATAAATTGGTTCTCTTCTCATGGTTTTAATGAAAGTGACAAGTGCATTTAGTACAAGTTTGAGGATGACACGTGCACTATGAATGACATGTTGATATTTGGTACAAAGACTCATGATATCAATGATGTGGAAAACCATGTTTGAGAATTTTGAATGATCTTGATGAAGCTTGTGTAAGCTAAGAGATCCAGGTAATTATGACAATGAAATAGATTTTTTCTAGATCAGTTTAGCTACATAGTTAAGATCTAGAAGAAATACAAGTTGTATGCCTGCATAAATGGTTGATGATGCTAGTGTAAATATTAAATAACACTGGAAACGGTATAATAAACTAAGAAAGTTAGAATATACTAGCATCGACAGTCTGCAAGAGGCAACTGATTAACACGAGACCCGACATTGTGGGTTATTTGGCAGGTTTACATGATGTCCTAGTATTAAGCATTGAAATGCTATTGAAAGGGATTATGAGACACCTTAAAAGAACAGAAAACCTTGGTATTTTTTATCAAAGGTTTTGCTGTATTGGTAGGGTATAGTGATGCGGACTAGAATACCCTATAGAGGACTCCAAGATTACCAGAAGCTATGTTTTAAACATCGATAGAGAGGTTGTGTCTTGGAAGTCTTAGAAAAAGAAGTAAACGATCATGGCTCAATCAACTATGGCATCAGAAATGATAGAATTAGCAATGGCTAGTAAATAAGAAAGTTGATTGAGAGGGTCATTACTAGAGATTCCCTTATGGGAAAGACCGATCCGTCCGGTAGTTGATTCATTGTGATAGATTCGCAGCTATTATTAAAGAAGGGAACCTGTTCTAGAATGAAAAGAGACAACAAATTCGTCGTAAGCATAGTACTGTAAGAGAACTCCTAACATAGGAGCAATGAGGGTGGATTCTGTAAGGTCATAACATAATCTAGCTGATCCTTTCACGAAAGGATTATCTAGAGAAAGTCCAAAATACCGCCAAGGGTATGGGACTTTTGCCTACCGAACCACAGACTACAAGTCATGGTAACCCGACCCAATAGACTGGAGATCCCAAAAAATGGGTTCAGTGGGTAATAACAAGTCATGAGTAGTATGCGAAAAGTTCATGCATAGTGAAGCATGAATCCCAAAGCAATTGAAGTTGAGATAACAACTCTTAATGAGATCTATACCTTATGTGGGGTGGAGTACTTTACTTTGGGGGTACTCCTGATAGACTCACCTATGTGAATGTGGGAGTGGGGCCGCTCCCTATGGAACTTTGGAGGCACAAAGTTGCTAGATCGTTCACTAAACCGGGATAACGTGCATGGCCATAAACGCACGACCTATGAGAGAATATCACTCAATGAAAAGATCCGGTGTGCTACATTTTCTGAGATAGGGTTCAAGATTACGAGTCACCCTTATGAAATCGGAAGTGTAACCACTACACTAAGGTTCAAATCTTCGCGATACCTTAGCTTATGCCCGATCTTATGGATCTATTGATGCTCAGAGATAGTTTCAAAACTATTCAAGTAGGGGATTGTTGGGAATGAATAGCTTTGAAAGCTATATTGAATTAATTATCAAGTATTCTTTCGAGATACGAACATAAGATGAATAATTAATAAAAGGAATATTCTGGAGATAATTAGGATTAATTATCTTAATATAATGCATTTTAATTATGGAAGTAATAATCTTCCTAGTTAAAATGTGGCTTATTCCCAAAGAAAGAGGGAATATTCTAGGTTTTCTGCTCTTATAAATAGCATACCCCTAGACCCTCTAAAGACACCATAGAGAGCAGAAACACGAGAGAGAGAGTGCGATTCAGAGAGCTCCGATTTTTTGCACAAAACCGCTGAGCAAATCAAAAGAGTGGTTGTTTTATCCTAGAGGCGACTGGCTGATAGTCTGTTGTGCGCAATACGAGGCAGTGCCACGAACGTCTTAAAGAGAGCTACCTAGTCCGCGACGCAGCCAGATCGGTAACCCTAAATTTCATGTTCGGTTTCTAACACAAGTAACGGTCAAGGTACGACTGAATCTTTCTTTTACTTGGTTACCTTTGAATTCCTTTAAGCTTTCACGACATGTCTACGTTAGCGAATCCAACTAAAAATGGCAGGTAAAGTTAGCTAGCGGGTGAAAGGGAAAGCATAACTCTACTCTGCTCCTTGTTCCTCGTTGCTTTGACTCTTTGCTTTTGGTCCTGAGCTACTTTGAAGGGATGGCCTCAAAGAAGGCGTCCCTTTTGAGTTTTGAGGCTTTTAACTGCTATGTGAACAACTCATATGTGTCATCCAAATTGAAGCATGTGACCAGTCAATAAGACCATGTCATAGTGTTGATAAAAGTTCGTTGAAGTAACACGTGAGAGTTTGATACTGGATGTCACACCATGTCCTTAACGATCATGTTTAAACAGATTAGTTTGTATTTCCCTTGGGTTAACCTTGTTGGCAGTTTGCACCAGGCTTCCAATTTGGGTAAATTGATACCATTTTCGCCATCAATTTGTTCAATGGTGAGGGATATGGGTAGATCAATCTGATAGAATACTTGTCTCAAACTCAATACTCAATTGTCGTTTGGGTGAACTGAGTCTGGATTTGTGCATTTTTGTTCTGGAAATTGCAAAGCTTGACAGTGCACAACTTGGAGTAGAAATTGCAACAAGGTTTATGTTTGCTACAAATTTGGGTTTCTGTTGTAATGGTTTATATATATATATATATATATATTTTTTTTTTTGACAGAGTAATGGTTTATGTTTAATCCCCTTTTATTTCACAATCTGCTTGTTCCTATAATATCAACTCCACTCTATTTGTTTTTATTGATCAAGGATATGGATGGCAGGGTGGCGCAGGTGCATGGGAGTGATGGGAAGCTGGTGAGAAAATTTGGAAGGAACAACGATAGTGTCTTGGCTGTGAGAACCTACTTCTCTTTTGAAATAGATTGCTGCTCTTCCGGATATTTGCAGTGAAGTGGAATGAGAGGACCAAGCCAAGCAGTGAGGGAGGGACAGAAGTTGCAGCTACAAATTTCATTGCTCATCCATTATAGCGAAGCCATTGTTCTTTCATTATTTTCTTCTCTACTGTTACACCCTCACATGCACAAGATATCTGGGAAGAACTGAAACTTAAGGCTGTCAAATTGCAGAGTCCATCATCATAATCTGTCGACAGATTTATCAATATGGTTGTTTGTTTTGGCTATACTTTACATACAGTGGATACAGAGTGTATGGATGAATAATAAAACCCTATTATGCCTATGACCGTTCCTACCAGCCATCTCGTCCTCATTCAACCTGTCATGCAATTACATATGCTTGATCCTCTTTCGGTGAGGTGCAGCGGTTGATGTGCTCTCATCCTTCTCCTCCTCTTTCTCCCCATGCTCCCTTCTTTACTGGAAGGCGGATCCAAAAAAATTTTATAGGGTGTCCTCTTCCAAAAATTAAATTAAATAATTCATACACAAAAATATCATATTAGAGCATCTCCATTGGAATTGTATTTAGAATTGCATTATGACATAGCATTCATTTGCAATTGCATTGATGCAGATGACAATTGCATCTTTGCAAGCTTGCATATAATACAATTATGGAATGCAAGCCACATCATCTTTTTTATTAGTAAATTATTTAGTAATTTTATTATATGAGTGTTTATGTTTTAATAAATTAAATTAAAAAAATTAGTTGCAATTGCAAGTTAATTGTATTGTTGTGGTGCAATGCAAGTAAGATGAGTTGGATTGCAAAAAAATGAAGAAACAATAAAAAAAGCAAATGCAATTGCACCAATGGAGATGCTCTTAGAAAATAATTCACGAATTGATCGCATATTCGATTTCTAACTTTGTTCCTGATGTGACTCAAATTTGAAAGACTCTTTCAACTCTTGCAGTATACCTATAAAATTAATTCAAATTAAGGATATTTCAAATGAGTTTAATTGTTAGGTTTTGAAAATAATTGAGAATAATGAGCAGTATTTTTACTATAACATAGTGTTTAATATAGAACAACAAATGAGTTGCAACCTAGAGAATATGTTTAATAATAGTAGTGTCCTTTGAATAACACAGAGTAATACTTATATATTTTTAATCATACGCAAACTACTACCGAGGACAGGATAATCGTTTTTCAAAATTTAAGGGTGTCTCGGATTACCAATTATAATTTTTTTATCCATCCGAAACCACGATTGGGAATAGGGTCAAGTATACGAAGTAACTCCGCAACTACAGTGATTGACTAGTTGATACCGTCGAGATCTCCTTGCTAGCTCGATTCCCTTCCCCGAATGGGCAAGAAAGAAAATTAGGATTTTGATTGATAAAAACTTATTGAGCCCCTATGAAAATCATCCTTTGTTTATAGACATTATAAACAAGTTTCTATTCTTATTAACTAAAAAATCTGACTCCTACTAGCTACAGAATCAAAGAACCAAAAGGAACAGGAAATAAAGCAAGAATCCTTCTCGCAAGGTTCCTTCCATACTAACACAAGTTCAAAGAGTCAATTGAGGCAAGGGAAGAACGTGTTCTGAAAACAATAATTTTCGCCAAGTATGGGAATAGTTTCGAGGTGCCATCTCTTCAGACTTATTCGAACCATTTGAGGGATACTCGAGGTCAGCTGCGAGTTGGAAATTATAGTTTGTGTCTTGCTGAAGAGCGTGAAGGAATTGATTGAGCTCGACTCAATTTGGAAGCCTTTGAACGAAGAGCCTTAAGTTGGTATGGAGTGCAGCTTTGTTACTTGCGTAGGAAGCCAGTTACTTAGGCAACAATCAATCAAGTTGAAAACTGAGTTTGAGAAAGATTCTCTAGATGTTTTGTGTTTGTTTTTCCTTATTAGAGTTATAGTAGTTTTCCTTTTTTAGTAAGCATAGGATGAAGTTCCTTTGCCTATATAAAGGCTTCATTGTAGCTTGTAAAGGGGAGGACATTATTGAATGAAGTCTAATCTAGAATTCTTCGAGCTCAAGCTTGAAAGTTTCGGTTGATCTTTGGTGGACTCCAAAGATTGTTTGTCTCCTATCAATCGAGTAAAAAAACTCGATTGTGGCGAGCTACTACCCACATTGAACGTGTCTTCCCCAAGTGTTGAATTTCACTTCAATCTCATCCAGTTCCTAGAACCAAAACCATGTTCTTTGGTTTGATTTGCATTGATCAATCAAACCCTTTGAATTAATCTTTTTTTTTTTGGTAGAATTTTTTCTTCCTTTGAATTAATCTTGTTGTGTGACACTGATCATGAAAACATACCTTGTGCTCACACCAAGGATGAATCCGCCCAAAATGTTTCATTCACACCTTGTGTTCTCACTAAGGATGATTTAATCATCAAGTAAGCTCATTCCTTGCTTCTCCCGAGTTGGGATCTTCTTCTTGGACATGGATGACTGTGATCTCTTGTCCCACGAATAATTCAAGCTCAAATTATGTGAAACTCTTAGCCAAATAAGCTTGTGGTTGTGTATTCAATGTTTAGGTTTAACTTCAAGTGATTGGACCTTCACTTTGAGTAGCCTCCTCTCGCACCGATGTTAGGATAGTAATAGCTTTGGTGTTGATGCCCTCATCATAGCTTATTTATTAGCAAATCTTCATCAATAGTCATTCAAGATGCTGATAAAGATAGAATAATCATGTGCATCATTGGTAAAACATTATATCTTATAAAATATATCATATTGTTATACCTTTTGAAACGCAGGAATTAAATTTTAAATTATAAATTGGAATAGCTCAAACAAATGTATGATATCCGTAGCAAAGCGTGTGCCCAATAACTAGTTATTGTTTATTATTATTGCACAACAAAAAAGTCATCTAGGTAGCTAACAATTTTGGCCTTAGACATGGAAATCATCATGCAATGTTGTTGATCTGCAGAGAGCAGTCTGTTTGGCTGCCTAGTTCCCTCTCTAACTTATGGGTGCAAAAGAGCACTACTATATGCATTTACGGTATTACTTCACGCACAACATTCATCCATTCATTCAATCATTCAAGACACACACACGCACACTCGACAACGAGAGGAGAGGTTGTTGCGATCAAAACCAACAACAGATTTACATCCTTTCATTCATTCCCCTGTCCGTTGGATCAATCAAGGGGAGTGTTGCTTGAAGAGCTCAACCCTCCTTCCATTGAGGGGCTGGACCGGTCTCGCGTTAACCTTGAATCCATCTGGCAATGGCGCTGTCAAGGCTTTCACCTGCTCTCTGGACACCGTCTTTGGGCGGGCGAGGACGGACCAGATGACGTTCTCGGAGCACGGCGGAGAAGTGATGGAGCCAACGTATCTGTAGTACTTGTGGTGTGAAGTACTCTTCTTCAGCATCTTGCACTTCATTTTCTTCTTCAGCGGCACTTGCGCTTCTTCGTCCGCCGAGTACTTGTCCTTTGCTAGCTCCTGCAGCTCGTCTTTCATCTATGTGCACACACAAACAAACAACAAAAACAGAGGGGTCCTTGTCAACAAGAGGAATACGATCCATTTTCTTAATTATATCAAGTCGCTGGCTACCTTTTTCAGGAATTTGTCTTGGGGGCCATATTCGTAGAGGATTGCTGCCACGGCGAAGCTCTCATCGTCTGCCTGGTGAACCATGTGAAGCTCCAAAGCGTACCTTCACGTGAAAGAGACAGAACAGAGTTAAACTACTCACCGTTTTGAAGCCGCCAACGTGCCCAGGCTAGAATTCCCAATACCCAAAAACAGGAAAGGAAAGGAAAGGGAAAGGAAGGGATGGTCAGAGAGAAAGCGGGACTCACTGCTGGCCATCAATGGTGTGCTCCGATGGAGAATGCCAATGCATTTGCTTCAGTCTGTAGGTTTTGCCCTCTATCTCCAATTCTCCAGGGGAATCATCAAAATGAACCTGCATTCCCGCCAACACAGAAGGACATAGTTCAATGCAAATCAAATCGTATCGAAATTAATGTTAGGGAACTCGTGTACATATATGTATCACGTTGAACTTCAGATTTTGAAATAACTAAAACTCTGAACTCAATTTAACACCAAGTACACCGATTTAAGGTTGTTGTCACATCAATGACATGGTAACAAACTCCTCTATCATTACGATGGAATGGCTTTGGTTTCGTTGTTTTAATATGAAACTTAGTTCCTGATGTGATTGATATACTTAATAATAATGCTTATAAGCCGATTCAGTGAGCTAACCACGCCATAGAAAAGTTGATTGGTTCAAAGGCAGAGGGAGAAGGAAGGTCTCAAAATATGGTACCATGACATTGCGGCCGGTGTTGATAAGAGAGGCTCCCACGGAACGATAATTCCCTTCCAGTTTCTGCAGCTTCTTCTCCTCCACGGCCTCCTTCCTCCTAATGTCGATAGGGGACTGGGATTTGCCAGATCCACATGCCTGGTACTTTGGGCTCAAACTCCCCCATTTCGCAGGCCCATTTGGCCCGGAGTAACCAAAGCTCACTGTACAAGAATGTTTCCAAAAACAAACAATCAGGACAAAATTAGATCAAACAAACATCCCCTTCTTCTTCTTCTTCTTTTCACAGTCGCGTGAAAAGGGAAAGAAGGACCAGAACATGCTCAAACTTTAGCATTGTATGTACCAGAAGAAGCATTGTTGGCAGAGGCGAGACCAAGTGGCAGTACAAGAATGGCTACAACAACGTACAAGAAGGAGAAGGAGAAAAATGATGCTCTGGTGGTACCCATTTAATCTCTTTCTTGTTTTCGTGCAATGGTCGAAAAATTATAAACAATAAGAGGGAAGAATGTGTGAGTTATGGAGAGGGAGCCTAAATTTAGAAGAAGCAGGGGAGGAGAAAACAGGGGTACTGTCTGAGTTTAGACTTGCTCTGTGTCTCTCTCTATGCAGTGTACGCAAATACAAATGTAAGGAGCTCTCTATTTATACAGGAGATGAGAGGCTTCCAATCCATTGCTCCTGCTCTGCTGAAGGTAAACCAGGGGGATAATGGGAAAGGTGGGGGCTTTTTTTGCTTTGTGTGGATGGATGGATGCGCACTAACAGTAAGAGAGAAGGACAGAAAGCTAAGGCCAATGATGATGATGCCTGATCATCGCGACCATATAGTTAAGCTATCTAGCTTTTTGTTTCTGGGAGGTGTTGTTTGTTTTGTTGTGGGAAATGGGCGGAGGGGAGGGTTTTTGTCGTGAAAGATTGAAGCATTTTTTGGTTGTCGTCAATGATTCTGGGTTAGCTCTGGAGTTAACTACCAAATGGAAACGTACACTAGGAATCTAAAATCACTCCAATAGAACATAACATTACATATGTTCACCAACGTTGCACTAGCTAGTGGATTTCTCGGACGGCTTGGACGGTTTTGTGTGGAAAAGATTCCTAATAATTTATGGACTACTGTAGTCACTGCATGACAATGACATGTCCCATCTCGTTTTGGGTGCGGGAACTGTGGCAGTGCATTTGGACAGGAATGATATATATAGTTTTATTCCAACAAATTAACAAACGTACCCTTGTATTACATTTTCCCACAAATATAGTTCTCTAATATTAAATCGTAAAAAGTTTACACTTCCATCTAACAATCGTTAAGTGACCTGTTGGGGGTATTATGAGCAGAAGCCCAAGTGGGGGGGCAAGGCCCAAGTAAGAGGGAGGCCACATGAAGACAAGTCACAAGAAGCCAAAGGAGGCCAGACTGTCATGTGGTCCAGTGCCTGCGGGCGCCTGTCACGTGCCAGGAGTCTGACAAGGTGGTTGAGATGTCTGGCCAGAAAGAGACAAAGCATTGAATGAAGGCAGGGAGGTAGAGAGGATCAACCTCGAACTCTGGTAAGTATAAATAGGGGCAGTTGGTAGCATTTACACAGGTTGGACTCTCTCTCACAAACTCTAGCTTTGAGACACTTCTCTCTTCCTAGAAACTGACTTGGGCGTCGGAGGATTAACGGGCCTAGGCGCCCCCTCCTTGTTAGTGTGTGCAGATCGGCGCCTGGCGAGAGAGGATTCAGGAGAGTCTTACAAGGGGTATCGGGTCTCAAACAATTGGCGCGCCAGGAAGGGGAATATAGCCAGGAGTCATGAGTGAAGAGGCGCCGATGAATGAAGAAAGCGAAGAAATTACGGAAGAACAGTCGGAGCGAATGAGAGGGCAGACGCCCGAGGAAGAAGAAGGTGAAGGAAGTGAGGGCGCGTTGCGGGGATCCGAAGGCGCCTCAGTCACGAAAAAAGAATTGTTCCGGATCATTGAGGATCAAGACGAGGCGATCGAGGCGCTGCGGCGTGAAGTGGACGCCTTAAGAAGGAGTGAAGGGATGACGCCCAGCCCGACAAAAAAAAAGAGAAAGGGTGGAAGAGACGGAGATTGAATCGGGGTGCCCGAGGCGTCCCGGTCCATGGCGCCCACGTGATCACGGGGCGCCGGACACTAGTGGATGGAATGGAGGAATATTGGGGCGCCTTTCACGCCACTGCCCTGTGAGGCAACCTCTGGCGCGTTGCATATTGTCGGAGTCAGCCGGAACCAACATTCCCCCACTCCCAGCCTATGACGGAACTGGAGACCCCGAGGACCACCTTAACGGATATTTCACCAAAATGCAACTCTATAAAAGCACAGACGCCACCCTGTGCAAGGTGTTTCCGTCCACCTTTTCGGGCATGGTTCTCGATTGGTATCATCAGATCGGTGAAGGGCGCATCGACTGCTTCGAACAGTTCGCAGCAATGTTCTTGGCGAAGTTTGCCAGCAGAAAAAGGCGCTCATTGACCATAGGCGCCTTGTTTAAGGTCAAGCAGAAAGAAGGAGAGGCGTTACGGGAATTTTACGAGAGGTGGCTATCCGTGGCCTTAGCAGTGAAGGACGCCCAGCCGTCGGTGCTGGCGGTGTGTCTGAATGAGTGCACCTCTAGTGAGGAGTTATGCAGGGCGCTTGCGAAGAGAGATGTGGTGTCCACAGAAGACCTGGATTATAGAGTGCAAAAGGTAATTGTGCTGGAGGAGACATTAGCAGCCAGGAGGGCAGATCGGAGGAAAGCACGAGTGGAGGAGGCCGAGGTGCCGAGGAGGCAGTACCCAGCGAGCGGTTCGGGCTATGCGCCCACAAGCCAGCCCCCGCCAAGGAGGAACGATATGGGGCGCCAGGCGCCTAGAGGGGCTGGGCCCTTCGCCGAGTATAACGACACCCTGAAGAATGTGCTCCAGCACGTCAAGGAGAAGGGATACCACATCAGGTGGCCAGGCCCGATGCGGGGGCAACCCAACGAGCGTAACTTGGACCGATACTGCGATTTCCACCGTGAGATTGGGCACTACACGGCTGATTGCTACCAACTTAAGACAGAGCTGCAGGGTTTGGCGGACAGAGGAATGCTCAATGACTTCATCAGAAAACCCGAGGAAAGAGTGTATAGGGCATGTGTGGCTGGAGTGGTGAGAACAGGGGAGGAGCTGCCACCACCACCCTATGACTTGGACCAAGAAAAGGCGCCTGACCGCGTGCGCCTGAAGATCGAAGCCATTTCAGGGACAATAGATTTGAGGGAGAAGATAGAAGCGAAGCGTCGGTTGAGGGCGGCGTCGGCAGATGTGCAGGAGTCGATCGACATTAGCTTCAACAAGGCGCCGGAGGAGGCGTGTATGCTCCCGTCCATGGACGCCTTGGAGATACAAGGGGTAGTAGCCGGATGCAGGGTAAGGAGAATGCTGGTCGATACGGGAAGCTCCATGGATGTGCTGTTCAAGGATACGGTGGTTCGCATGCAACTATCACCAGAGATGATCAGACCATCGGAGTCGGTACTAGTAGACTTTTCTGGGGCGCCCGCCAGAGTGATTGGGCGGGTATGCCTGCCCGTCACGTTGGGAGATGGGGAGCAAAGGGTGACGCGCGCCATAGACTTTGGGATAGTGGACTGTCCTTCACCCTACAATGCAATCCTTGGGAGGCCGCTCCTGGCTTTGTTTAATGTGGTGGCCTCCACTTGTCATCAGACCTTGAAGTTCATTGCCCCGCAAGGGGTGGGCGTGGCCCGAGGACGAGGCGCCCCGCGTTACGCGAAGGAGATAGGGCGCAAGCGAAGGAACGTCGAGGCAAGAGTCAATGTGATGGAAGTGGGGGAAGACGAGGCGCCTCGAGCCGAGGCGGCCGATGAGGACCTTTTGATAGCGTTGGAGGAAGGGCACCCAGAAAGGTGCGTTAGGATCTCGGCAGAGGCGCCTGCCGAGATGATGGAGCGACTCATCGCGCTTCTAAAAGAGTTCGCAGAGCTTTTCGCGTGGAGTGCCATGGAAATGCCGGGCGTCAAACCTGAAACAGCAGTGCACAGGTTAGCGGTTGAGGAAGGGAGGCGCCCTGTGCAACAGAAGCGCAGGAACTTATCGCCGGAAAAAGAGGCAGCCCTTAGGGTCGAGGTGGACAAGCTTATGGGCGCCAATTTGGTGGAAGAAACTTCTTATGTTACCTGGCTGTCAAATGTGGTGTTCGTGCCCAAGCCGTCAGGCGACTGGAGGATGTGCGTGGATTACACAAGCCTCAACAAGGCGTGCCCAACGGACGCCTACCCAATGCCCCGGATAGACTTGCTGGTGGACTCCACGGCATACCACGAGATGCTGAGCTTCGTGGACATGTTTTCAGGATACCATCAAATCCCCATGGCAAAGGAAGACCGGCCCAAAACAGCTTTCATGACGCCTTTTGGAAACTTTTGCTATCGGGTCATGGCCTTTGGTCTCAAGAACGCGGGCGCCACATACCAAAGGATGGTTAACAACGTCTTCCGGCAGCAAATTGGCCGGAATGTGGAAGCTTATGTGGATGACCTCATAGTCAAGAGTCGGAAACGGGAAGACCACATTGAAGACTTGCGAGAGACATTCCAGGCCATGAGGGCGCATAGGCGCCGAAGCGGGAAAATTTTTGGGATTCATGATCACCAAAAGAGGTATAGAGGCCAACCCGAAACAAGTGGATGTGATCCTTAAGCTAACCCCCCCCCCCCCCCCCCCCGAAGACGCCCAAAGAAGTGCAAGGCCTGGCGGGCAGGCTGGCAGCATTGGGGCGCTTCATCCCCCTGTCCGCGGACAAGGCCGCTCCTTTCTTTCGAACGCTTAAAAAGGCAGCCCGTTTCCAATGGACCACCGAGTGTGACGGAGCATTCGGAGGTGTTGGTAAGTGCCGTGCTCGTTGCAAGAGAAGCCCACTCTGGAGAGGACAGACCGGTGTACTACGTCAGTCGCACCATGGTTCCCCACGAAAGGCGATACGCGCCCATTGAGAAGGCCGCGCTGACGGTTGTGATGGCTGCAACCAAGCTGAGACCTTACTTCCAAGCTCACACCGTCATAGTCCTTACCAACCTCCCTCTGAAATCCACGTTGGGATCAATGGACGTGGCCGGGCGCCTCGTCAAGTGGGCAGTCCAGCTAAGTGAGTTCGATGTCAGATATGCGCCTCGACCAGCCATCAAGGCCCAAGTCCTGGCCGACTTCGTCGCGGAAGGAATAGCTGAGACAGAGAAGGGGACAGATGATTGTTGGCAAGTCCAAGTCGATGGAGCGGCCAGCCGTACGGGCGCCGGAGCAGGAATTGTGATGATAAGTCCGGGAGGTGCGATGCACGAGGTAGCGCTGCGATTCGCCACCTTGAAAACAAACAATGCTCCAGGTCAAGTCCGACTCGGCCCTCGTTGTCAACCAACTTAACGGAGCATTCGAAGTAAAGGAGGAAGCGCTAGAAGTGTACGTGCAAAGGATCAGAGAGCTGGGAGCCTGGTTTGGGGAAATCTCCTTCATTCACATCCCGCGTGAGGAAAATGCGCATGCAGATGCCCTATCCAAGTTGGCCACCGCAGTAGAGTTTGCAGAAGATCGGAAAGTCATTGTCACTGCGGAAGTACCCCGGCAATATTTTGTCGCAACCTTGGGGGACGAAGGCGCCGACTCCGGGTGGATGGCACCAATCATATTGTTCTTGGCCCAAGGAACGGTGCCGGATGACCCAAAGGAAGCCTGGCGCCTCCGTCGAAAGGCCGCCCGGTGCTCCATAATCGAAGGAACGTTATACAAGAGGTCTCATTCGGGAGCATATTTGAGGTGTCTGAATGAAGAGGAAAGCAGAGGAGCAATCGAAGAGGTGCACAGCGGGACGTGCGGAATGCACGCAGGGGCGCGCAGTTTGGAAAAAACGCTGCTGCGACAAGGTTATTACTGGCCAACAATGAGGCGGGACGCGAGGGCACACGTGGGCGCCTGCCACCAGTGCCAAATTCATGCAAATGACATTCATGTCCCAGCGGCGCCCATGCAGGGCAATGTGGGCGCCTGGCCGTTCGCCCAATGGGGAATGGACCTGTTAGGCCCTTTTCCCAAGGCGCCCGGGCAAATGAAATACTTGATCGTGGCAGTCGACTACTTTTCCAAATGGATTGAAGCTGAGCCTTTGGCC